TCCCTGTGATCCATTAGCAGAAAAAATCTCAACTTTCAATCTGTTTTGCTCCTTTTTTGTCTCTTTAAACCCATGTCTCTTTTTCCCGGCCAAAGCTACCCACTACAGTTCCCGACTCCGGTGGCATAGAACGGTAATGGAAATAAATAAAAAAATTAGGAGATAATAGAAATGGGTTAAATTAAACACCTTTTATTTTTACGGCTCCTTTTTACTTTAATCAAAGAAGCTTCTTCGCTGCCTCCTTCTTGGGGAGGAGTTGGAACCCAAATGAAATATATACCCTCCACATAATTTGAAAATTAAAGTCAAATTTCCATTTGGGTTTGATGAATTCTCCGTCAATCCCATTGGGTTTGTGACAAAAATTCGGTGAAGTTGCACGCTTTCACACATTGTTTGACTTTGGGTTTGCGTACAATTCAAGCGCACCTCCATTCTTAGCGTATTCGTCCTCTTTTTCTTACATTGCATTTTTTGCATTTTCTCTCTTCTTGTTAATGATCTTTTTTCTGTTATTCCCATTTGTCCAGTTTTTCTTTTCTTAATTGATGTTTGGTAGATTTTTTTTGGAGCCAAAAAAAACAAAGGGTCTCACTTCTATTGTTCTCTTCATCTTCTTCTTTATTTCTTCATTCTGAATCGATTATTCATTCACACACAAAAAGAAAGAGAAGGAGATAAAAGGGTGTGAGAGAGAATCTATATTTTTGGTCAGTGATTGTGCCTTTTTGGGCTATTGGCCGCCTTATATGATCTGGGTCTCTGCTTCCACCATTTCTGCAGTTTATTGATTTGTTTGAGGTGAGTCATTTCTCCACTATTGGATTCTTTACCATTTTTAGCTTAGAACCTGCGATTAACGTTTTATGTCTTCAATTCTATGGCATGTTGAGCTGGAAAGAATCTCTGTCTATCTCAATGACTCTTATAAATTACTTGTGTCGGAGAAAGGTTTTGTCGCTCTTCTATTCATTTGTAGTTCAAGCTTGCAGGCCTTCTATAAATGCCCGGTGGGTGACTTTGATTTGGATTATTTGTTCTACATTAGGTTGAGGGGAAATCAGTTTAGCTTGATAGCCTATTTTGTGAATTAAAGGTTGCAGTCAAATACTGTTTGAAGCCATTATTGCTGCAGGAATAGTTTATCTGCCTTAGCTTTATGCCCTTTTGCTACCATTGTTTTCCTGTTGACTGTTTTGGCCACAATCTGATTTTATCTTTTTAGAAGTGCTCCTGGTTTGATTGAGTGAAAATTAAATGGCATTTTCTCCCATTCTGTTATATGCTATAGAGCTGCAATTTAGTCTTCTGTATCAGAATGGAAGCTGTTGGTTAATGCTGCTTTGGTTAATGAATTTTTGATGATTCAATTTGAAAATTTCTCAAATTTTGGCAAATATTTTGAACTTTGAATTTGGTGACGGTAATTGAGACTGTTTGGATTGTTGTACTGCATTTTATAAAAATTTTTGTTTATTCTCTGTGCTCTTATTTTGCTCAATACATGCTCCTTCAGCAGGTAAAAGCTTCATTGTTTTTGAGCAGATAGCATTGCGCATTATGGGTTGGCTTCACAAAATCTTTAAAGGTTCTGGTGGTAGAGTTCCAGAACAGCATAATAATGGGAATCATAGAGAGTACCCAAATTATTATGGACCTTCTACTTCAGGGGTATCTACATATACCACTTCATGTCACTTTTTATTTTGCTATTTCTCTCTTTGTATGATTGTATGGCTGGTTGGGAAACGTGTATTCATATCCATGTTCCATTGTCACTTTGTATGCACTTTGCTGAAGTGCATTTTATGCATTACAAATTATCAAGTATGCATCCAAGTGTTCTCTTATAGACATATTTTGTATGTTTGATGCTAGTATAATTAGACTATTTTACATGGGTAGGTTAACTTTTGATGCGCTGTCCTAAGATGAATATTTGGTTTGGTCATGACTGTAGGGTATGTGGTCAGGGCGGGAGAATGAAGATATAGACCACGCTATTGCACTATCACTTCTAGAAGAAAACCAGGGGAGAAGTGCAATAGGTAAGTGACATGTTATTGTCCAACTTTTACCGAAATAGGTGATTTGAGCTTTTTCATCATTTTCTTATCATTTGTTTCCCTCCTCAGTTATCTCTTCTGTTGCAAATTATCAGAATTTGAATAATTTCTCAGATTATTCCATAGATAATGGACATCAGCTGGAGGACGATGAACAACTTGCCCGAGCCATACAAGAAAGCCTGAACTTTCAGTATCCTCCAAGACCTCCACAATATGGACACGGAAATATTTATCAGCCTGTTCCAGTTCATTTTCCAATGGGGTTCAGGTATTCTTTTTATGCGGTTACTTACGAGAGTTTTGACTATAATCTGAGTTCAGTTTGGTTTGGTTTTTTAATGGTCTGAATATGAGATATGTTATCAATTGTACTGTGTAATGCCAGAAACATTACTGGTGGTTTTGTTTTGGGTAGGATTTGTGCTGGTTGCAACACTGAGATCGGTCATGGACGATTCCTAAATTGCCTGAATGCATATTGGCATCCAGAATGTTTCCGTTGCCATTCTTGTAACCTTCCAATTTCTGATTATGAGGTGCAAAATTTAGTCTTAATAATACTTGTTTAGGTGGCTGTAATTTTTTGTCAGTACTCTGTTCAGTTATTCTTTTAGCTGCAAAAACTAGCTAACTTTATTATTTTCTTTCTTTTTGCAGTTCTCTATGTCTGGGAACTACCCTTTTCATACATTTTGCTATAAAGAGTGCCATCATCCAAAATGTGATGTCTGCAAGCACTTCGTAAGTGCCTTTCCTGTACCCGGAATACATTCTATTGATTCCAAATGTTCATTGTTTGTATTCAATGTAATGCATGAACATTCATGGCATGATAGGATATTTGATAAACACTGGAGTTTTGACCTTAGACAGCTTTATTGGGGAGCTGGAAGCAAGATGCTCTAGATTTCCTTCCTTGAAATTTTGGAAATAATGTGTCAGACCTCCTCATACATGCATATCATGCCAGTTTTATATCATATTTTTGCAAATGTTGAAATTAAAAATTGCAAATCCACTAATCTTCCTTTAGACATGTCACTCATTGTTGGTTTGGTGTTCTCTTCTGGGGTATAAACATTTTGGACAGATTCCAACAAACCCTGCTGGTCTGATTGAATATAGGGCACATCCTTTCTGGATTCAAAAGTACTGCCCCTCTCATGAACATGATGGTACTCCACGATGCTGCAGCTGTGAGCGAATGGAGGTCAGTTTTGCTGAATTGTGTGAATTATTAAGGTTCCTAATAAAAATCTAGGTGACAATTTCTGAAAAATGGAACAAAGAAAGGTTGATAACATGACACATTGGTTCATCATATGCAGCCGAGGGACACAGGATTTGTTGGCCTTAACGATGGGCGGAAGCTCTGTTTGGAGTGTTTGGACTCTGTCATTATGGACACCAGCGAATGCCAATCCCTTTATCGTGAGATAAAAGCATTTTATGAAGGTTTAAATATGAAAGTAGACCAGGAAGTTCCATTACTCCTGGTTGAAAGGCAAGCATTAAATGAGGCCAGGGAAGGAGAAAAACATGTAAGGGAAAAGTGCCTTACCCATGACTCAAGATCAAATATAATGCGTAAGCTTTTCATTTGCATTCTCTGATTGTGATGGATTAGATCTTTTTCTTGCCCAGGGCCATTATCACATGCCAGAGACTCGAGGGCTCTGCCTTTCTGAGGAGCAGACTGTCAGCAGTGTAAGAATATTACAGACTCTTGTGTTTTTAGGTGATGGACAGATGGAATTTTTTATAAGTTTGTTATTCTGTTGATAAGAGATTTATACATTATATTGGACATGAAATTATCAGATTCTAAGGAGACCAAGATTTGGGAGAGGAAATCGAGCCGTGGACATGATAACAGAACCCTTCAAATTGACACGTCGATGTGAAGTGACCGCAATTCTCATTTTATATGGCCTTCCAAGGTACTTTGTGATCTACCCTACCAGCTTTGACCAATGTTTGATTAGTTCTGCACTGTAACAACACAATTGACCTAGTATTTTGATGCAAAACTGAAAATTGTGGGCCATGCAGGCTACTTACTGGCTCAATCCTGGCTCATGAAATGATGCATGCATGGATGCGACTACAAGGTGCTTTTAATTCCATCACCTTCCATTGCAGTACAACTGAAAATGTTTGATTTTGTTGATGATTTCCCTCTTTTTTTTTTATCATCATGGTTATTTGTTTCTGAAGACACTAATGACATAAAAAGCATTCTTGTTTTCAAGGTTTCCGGACTCTCAGTCAGGATGTTGAGGAGGGTATTTGTCAAGTGCTAGCACACATGTGGTTGCACTCTGAGCTCTCATCCATTTCAGGCAGCAATGTTGCATCAAGTTCATCCTCATCTTCCTGGAGAACATCAAAAATGGAAACAAGATCTCAATTCGATAAGAAGCTAGGGGAGTTCTTCAAGCACCAGATTGAATCAGACCGTTCCCCAGTCTACGGAGATGGCTTCAGAGCAGGCCAGCAAGCAGTTCATAAGTATGGCCTTAGACGAACCCTCGACCACATACGCATGACAGGGAGATTTCCTTATTGAATTCCAAAAATTCTTACTACATTTCTTCATTCTTTCACATTGGTTAAAGCTTGGCCTTTTCATATTAGAGCTTAAGGTCCAAGCACATAGGATGATCATCTCTTTCTATAGAGTAGGATTCACTGTTCAGAGATTCCATTTCCTTACGGCTGTTAGTGACATCAATTTCTTGTTTTTGATTAATTCATTATATGATTATATTCTTCATTTGGTATAGTTTATGTTACAATAGTTCACTCTATTTGGATTAGCTGTACCTTCTTAAAAATAGGCTTTTTCACAAATTTATTTTTTGTTGTACAGTGAGAAACAATCATCTCATCTCATCTCATTTGCATGTTATGTAATTAGAAGTCAAGACTTTTTATTTTCAGTGACAGTAGATAATCACAGAATTACTTAAGTCGTTGACAGGTTTTTCACATATTAAATTATAAATTCATATAAAATAATAAAAAAATTCTCAACATTAAAAAATTTGATTCATATTTAATAATTAAAATCATATAATTTAAAATAATCAAAACTACACTTCTTCGCAAGTTTATGATTTGGTGGCTTCTAACCAATTATTCAGTCCTATCATAGCAAGAATATGTTGTCTTTTCATAGACAGTAAAGTGCTTTCCGGTCAGAATGTGTTTCCAGCCATTTCTCCACATGTAATCCAAATTCCATGGAAAATATAGTAAAAGAAATATTTTAATTTCGTTACATAAATTAATTCACTTTATTTTACTTTTTTTTTACAAAAATAATGATTAATAATTAAGCTAAGAAATATTAACAATTACGAATTTGATACCAGAACAAGTGATCTCTCACCCAGGCGCACGATCCATCTGTCCACACGATGGAGTTTAATTCACTTTAATTTTCTTTTTTTTTGGTAGAATTCACTTCACTTTAATATTCAATTATATTAAACTGTGTTCTTTAAAAAATAAATTGAAAAATAAAGGATAAAGAGATTTTTTTAATTTTTTTTATATATATAGTGAAACAAAACCACCCAAAACAGCTCATTTGCTATACAGATTTTTCGATACAATTATCATAAATCCGAGATGGTTTCTTCTGGAATTTCCTTCTTATTAGTACAATACCTTTTTTCCAATATAATTCAGTTTCTTCAAAATAAACAAAAAGAAAAAAAAGAGTGTAATACCTGTGTAATTAATCTACAGCGAATCTTCTCCGACCAGCCGCCTTGCTCCGCCGCCTTCACCTAAGACTTCAAACACAAACGTTTACTTTCCACAGTAACTATTGATCCTCCATTAGCTGCGGCGCATTTCTCTCCGATTTATACGCTCCAGAAAGACTTCCACACTTTCGGGAACTGAAAAGGCTTGAATTCATTATGTATTCGTTAAGAATCCAATGCGAATGGTGTCTGCAATAGATCGTAAGGAGCCCACAGAGCATCCAATGGGCATGGCCTGTTCGCATCCAGTCGAGCCCATGGTTTCCCTTTTCCACTCCAATGTAAAAGGCTTACCGGACCCGGATGCAAATCCCGGCATAATCCCCTGAAATTGTCGCCTCCGAGGCCATGTTGATTCCATCTGTGATCCACGGGAACTATATTCCCTGCGAAAACCAGTAAGAAAGGGGGCAGAGAACCCAATTCGTAAATTCTCATTCGCTTTTGCAATTCCATCCATTCCTCAATCTTTGTCGTGTAATCCCCTTCCCGCCACCGGTTGAGATCGATCACCATCACGCCGGTGTTGAAATAACAAGCTTTCCGGTCGGCGAAAGTCAAAGACAGGGAAGGGTTGGACCAGAACGTCGGAGTAAAATATGAAGTGAAATTCGCATTACAGTACTCCGGTGCGGCGAGAACAGCCGTGTCCCCAAGTGGGGTCGCAGCGAGCTTCGCGATGTCGTCGACGAGCACTAGGTCGGAGTCGAGGTAAACCACTCGGTGGACGCACAGGGGAAGCAAATTGGCTAAGTAGCTACGGGCATAATTCAGGGGACAGTCCAAAGCAGAACGAATTGAAGTTGAGATGAGCCCCGAAACCGCAGAATCATGGAAACGGTAAACTCGGAAATTCAGGTAAGGAAAGGAGGAGGAGATGGTGGAGGTCAGAAGAGACGCGTTGGCCGAAGCGGAGGCGACGAAATGGAAGGCGATGTTTTGGGGGCAGACTGAATGTTGAAGGACGGAGAGGATTGCTGCCATGGAACCCCGGATGTAAGCAGTGTCAAGGGTCATTGCTACGTGCACTGCCTGATCCGAACAAAAAATTGGATTCTCACCCTCTGTTTCATCTTCCTCTGCCCCAGTGGAAGCACACTCCGGAGAGTTGTAGAACTGCGGTGCTTCCTTGAACTGTTGGGTTATAGTTATAGGAACGGCAGTGGAAACAAGGGCAAGTGAGAGGAGAATAAGCAAAGGAAGGTGGCGGAGCGGTGGATGGTGGCGCATAGTTAGAGTGTACGGTGGTTTTAAGGGAGGGAGAGTTGATGGTCGGTTTGGATTCAGGGATTAAAGTGTGAGTTTGTTTATTTAACTCTGTTTGGGGAGCTTCGTCAATAATTTTTCAAAAAAGGGGTTGTTGAGTTCACATTGTTTTTAGATTGTTAAGTTAGCAATTTTATTTTCTTACTTTTTTCAGATGGGTCCTCTCTCAGGTCCTATATCCTTTTCTCGCATATACTTTTCCATCTCAATCAAATTACGTAAGGCTTGTGTTCCCGTAACGAATGGAGTTGCCTTGAAGTAAGTAATATTTGGAAATTCGATCGATGGGTCGGATATATGGTAAGTTAAGTACTTGTAATCTAAATTTAAAGTTTAAGTATTATAATTATTATTTAAATAAATTATTAATTTTATTAAATATACTATGTTCATTTAAAAGTTCATCCAACTTTTAAAATTATTTTAAAAAAATTAGTCTTGAAGTCCATAAAATTTATTTCAAAATATCTTAATTTTTTAAATAAAAAAGTAATATTTGAGATCAAGGATTTCTTTTTCTTTTTCTTTTTTTTAAGGAAAAAGAATGGTGGGATGAGATATTCCAATCTGAAATGGAAAAATGAAACCGTGGTAAATTTAAGGAATAAACACTACTTTTTCAAACCACCGCTACTTTTTTTGGACTACTTTTTTAGTCTATGGAACGAGCGAGTTAGAAAGCAAAGAATAACTTTTACTTTTCAAATTTTTCTCAACTTGTCTAAACTTTAAATTTAAAATTTTCAAATATTTTTTATTTGAAACACCTTTCGGTAGTTCTTCGTTGTCTTTCTTTTGTAAAAATTTGGGATGAAATAATGACAACATGAAGAGATCAAGAAAGTAGAAAGTGACTTATGACTTATCCATGAGAGGGAGACACTCAAGATAATTTATTTTGGCTTTATTCCAAAATTCAAGAAGAAAAATAGACTTCATTGAAGTAGAAAATGTAGAATTTGGTTGATAATGGATTCCTCCTCCGAAGAAATTTTTCAAACAAAAGTTAAACCATCGATGTCTGGAAAACAAAGTTGGAGCAACCAAACAGGAATGCTTTGAGGCAAAGAATGCACTTCCTACCTCTGATATGTACATGTACATGCTACCTTCCAAAAAGTTCAAATCTGTGTTTTACGGCACAAAAAACTCATTTGCAATTAAAGGGATCAAAAGTGTTATATATATATACTTCTTCTATAGCGAGAGGAGTTGTTGATGATATGACTTCCAGTCATGGTATTTTGGATGTGTAAATTTACTTCTTCAATTAAAGAGACACTCAATTAGTGACCATATATAGCTTTTATTTTCGTTGATTAATCATATGAAGAAATTTACGACTTTTTAGTTGGCCAGCAAGAAATTTAATCCTTTCTTTATCATCAAATTTTCTATATATATTTAAATTCTAAATATCATATATTTGAATAGTAATGTTATAATTACAATACTATGTATTATGTTAGTAAACCACATAGAATTACAATTCTATATGTATAATGTTGTTCAAAAAAAAAAATTACAATGCTATGTATGATGGTAAGCCACATAGAATTATAAACTTACAATTCTATATGATATTAAATTAAATCTAACATGACATTAAATGAATATATATAATATTATCAGAGACTCTTAAATAAAAATAATTAATTATTTAATAATATATTATGTTATAAGTTTACAATATTATGTGATAATATTATTAGTATTTTTAATATTTGAATCGAAGTCTTTAAATTCTAAAAGAAAAGGACACTAATGTCCAAGAGCTTGAATTTAAGTTATGACTGATTACAAATGTAGGGGAATGAGGTTGAACCCAAATCATTGGCCTAAGGTGCACCATATAAACCAATTGGATTAGGAGTCTTGGTGGAACTATTGGACAGAGTGGCAGAACTACATACATCCATGGTTGAGCATGGGTTTTATCATGGGTTCTAAAAAAATCAAAAAAATAAAGTTAAAAATATAAAATCTTAGGAAAAAAATTATTAAAAGCCTTAACTTAATCTTTTTATAGGAATAATAAAAGTTTAAACTCAAATTTAGAAAAAAAAAAAAAAGGTTTTACCTTAAATTGATTCTTAATTCCAGTACTGCCTTTTTTATCTTAATTGCACAATAAAAAATAATCATCTCTCATTCCTTATCTTATTCTACTCGCATGCCATGTGATTCAAATTTAAGATTTTTTTATTATAATATAAGAAGATAATCATTGAATTATTTAATTTTTTGACAGTTCCAACACTACTATAAGATGAAATTATTAGATGATTAATATTTCAAGTTCTAAGCCGAAACCAAATAAATTTCCAAGTTACCCAAAGGGATGATCATGAGGAAGTAAAGTGTTCCAAAAGGCTGCTTGTATATATCCTTACTCTATACGTATATATCATTACTCGAACCGAAATATTTTGGTTAATAGTAAAACCAAAAAAATAAACCGAAAACCGTTGAAACCGAACCGAATTCATTTTTTTGTTCGGTTTTCGGGTAAACCATCAATTCGGTTTAAAAATGCCCAGCCCTACCGACACGCCCCTAACAGCGGAGATGCATGAATGAAGAAATCAAACAACCAGAGGGTACAAAAATGTACGATGTCACTGCAATTATGGGATTTTATGGGCAAGCATAGCAAACGAAGAAGATGGAGTAAGAGATCTCAGAGTCGTATCTTAACAAGAGCAATGCTAGGAACACTCCCTTTTCGCACTCTCCGGTCAACACTTTCTTTTTTATTGGGCCAAGTTATCTCGGTTCCC